AGCAACTGCAACGTCATCGAAGACTAGATTGGTGACATTACTGTTTGTCAAGTTGATGATGAGTTGATCGTACGAATCTGGTAAACTTTGAAGTAGAAGTTCAACACGTTCTTGTTCTCCTATTTTACAGCTTAAGGATGTAAGCTGAGAAAATAAGGTGTTCAATGTATTTAAGTGCTCCGTAACTGAAGTAGATTCTGGCATACGGAGAGTGTACAATTTCCTCTTAAGGAAAATTTTATTGTGCAGCAATGTAGCCTCGTACAATTTGGTGAGATGATCCTATATCTTCTTAGTTGTCTTATTCTCCTCGATGCTTGACAATACTTCACTTGCTAATGCTAGATGAAAGTTTGCCATAGCATTCCCATCCATCTCGTTCCATTTGATGTCATCTGCGAAATCCACCGGCCTTTCATTGATAGTCGCTAGACACCCGTCTTTCCTTAGGATGACCTTCATCTTCAATTTCCACAATAAGAAATTTCTCCCATTGCATTTTTCAATATCAAATTTCGTTGCCATAGCTTCTTTTACGGATAGCTCCCACTATTTCACTGTCATGAATAGTTCTCTGGAACCTTCAAAGAATGGGTAATAACTTGTTATTTTCTTATGTTAGAGGATACACCTTTTGGTGGCAACCACAAAGACAATAAGCAGATATTACACACTCTAATCTAGCTTGGATACCAATTGTTACGGAAGACGGCTATCGGATAGAGCAAAATCGCAATTGATAATTTGAGAAAATAAAAATGAAGATAAAGAAGTCACAAAATTTACGTGGAAAACCCCTAAATAAAATAGGGTAAAAACCACGAGCAACGGTAGAAGAATTTCACTATGAGAAAATAGGAATTACAACTTCTCTCGATCTACCAAGGAGAAAACAATGATAATTCTCTCTTGATAAAAAGGAGAAAACAACTCTCAAGAAACTCTCTAAATTCTCTCTAGTATTGGAAGAAAGCTAGAATACTTTGGGATGGTTTTGAAGCTAAATGAGCTAGGGTATTTATAGTAGAAGCTTTAAGGACTAATCTTATAAATACCCTAAATTACAATGACTAATTGCATAGTTTTACCATCCAAAAATTCAACAAAAATTGGCTACCTAAATATGACCATTTAGCCGCCCATGTTTTTTTACTTTCAACACATTATACTCAAGTTTGATCTTCGATTTAAAACTTCCCTTCATTGTAAAAATGATTACAAATGTTTCAAGTCTACAACTAGAATTTAAAATTGTTTCATTCCAAAAAAATGTCTAAATTCAATAAATTGATTAATAAAATAAGCTATCCATGGTAGCATTAAAAGATATCTCAAGTCATTTTAATAAGAAAATACTTCAAACTTTATGAATCTATCATTGACTGTTTTGGTTTCTTGCTTTTTGATATTCATCATCTTTAATTGAATTATGGAAGACAATTCAACCCGAATCCAACAGGTTCCAACCCGATGAACTGAATTGAGATATGAGGTTTTTGTCATTAGAGACGATGAACTGAATTGATGTTAATTTCATTAGAGACAATGAATTGAGTTGGTAATTACCCTAGTTGATGGCAATATCATTAGAGATGAATTAAATTTTAGAGAATAAGATATAATGATTCATACATAAGTGAATGTTTGATTAATGACTAGTTTAGGATGCTAGAAGATGTAATAGGGACGCGAATATACACATCAAGTTGTAATTGACGAAGAGTCTAATTCAATAAAAAAATATTAATAAAATATTAATTAAAGCTTAGGTCACAAATAAAAAGATAATAAAAAAATCATATCATCATACAACAACGCAGGAAAATGGAGGAATGGTAAACAAATTCAATGTATAATGTTTAGAGATTTTTTTTTTAAATTTGTTGATCATGGGAGTGAGAAGAAAGTTGAGTGATAAAATTTATAATTTATTCAAAATATATTATATGAAGTAACCTAACTGATGTAATTTTAAAATATTAAAGATTTATTAGATTATTTATAATTAGAACTAAATTGATATGCATAATTTTAAGGGATTAAAAAGGATTTTATACTATACAATATATGTTACATTCCAAATTCTGGGTTAAGAGTTTTAAGCTAACCCGAAAGGACCTTGGATGAACCCGTTAGTTGTAGGAAACCTTTGACCCAAGATTTGGTGAGAATTGGCCTTGGATTAAACCCATTTAGTGTTAAAAAGGAGATTTTTGAAATAAGACCAAAACTTGAAGGACCAAGTAAACAATAAACATAATTTTAGTTTGAAAGGCTGAAATCCCATTAATGGGAATGAGGTCACGCTGGAAACTCCATCTTTTTCTTCACACTTCTTTGTTGTTTTCTTCTTTTTATAAACCCTATCTTCTTTGGTAACTTAGACAAATGCAGAAACTTTGTTAGCTTTCATCACTAGCCCGATTTTGCAAAGGTAAGAAACAAAATCACCATTATTAGAGCTTTCTTTCTAACCCACAAAATCAAAGTTCGGTTATACTAACCTCAAGAAGGGCTTAGTAGGGGTTTAGAAACCCATGGTTTTTAACTCATTTTGGGAAGATTAAAGCTCTAGGAGACTCCTTAGCTTTTCCTTAAATCTCCAAATCAGTTAGTAATTCATGTATATGATTTTGTATAGTGAGAGAAGTTGGGGAGAGCTATAAAAGCAAAGGAAAGGAAAAGCTCACTCTTGGTTGAGTTGAAAACGTTTCCACCAGCTTAGGAGACAAGGGAACACACTTATAACTCAACTCTACTACCTGTAGATTATTAGATGAGTGTTGATTAGTTTGCATGAGTTAGGAAGCATACTAGCATGTCCACGGTAAATCTCAACATTTTATGTTTTTCAGCATGTTTATGGACATTATGATCCTTTTGATCATACATAAAACTTTAATAACGTTTGGGAATCTCAGTAGGGCTTTTGGGTTAAATAGGGAGTCATTTTCGTGCCCAAACAACACATTTCTGTATTTGAGTATCAGTACTGGAAGAACAGTACCAATACACTTTATCAGATGGTTAAAACAAGAGAGTTTTGGGCTAGAAGTATCAATACTCATTAATAGGGCATCGATACTCGCAAGAGGAATATCGATACCGAGTTCACTTAGCAGATTCCAGTGACAATTTTTTGTTTCGGTATTCATAAGAGTATCGATACTGAGGGTTGAGTATCGAAACTCCCAGTAGGGGTATCGATGTTGAGGCATTTTTTAAAATATCAAAGTAAAATTTAGTATTGATACTTAAGATAATATTGATACCCTGGTATAAAAGTATTCGATACTTGATCCCAGAGTATCGATACTACCATTTCTTCTCATTTCTGCTCAGCTTATAATAGTCATTTTAGTTTCGATACCAAAGGTTAGTATCGATACCGAAGAACTCAGTATCAATACCAACGTATAATTTTGGATAGGGAATCCAAATGGTTAAGGGGTTGAACTTGAGGGATCCAATAACACCAGAATGGAATCAAATAAAACTACAAGTGAGAACCGTAATAAACTTACAATAACTTGAAACAATAACAACCAAGATGACATAAAACTAGACTTGTTTGATGCTCGGGAAATAACCAAGGCACTCGAGTTTACTTTAGTAGAGGACAATCATCTCATTGGATATCCCAATCAGTGCCAAGACACTTTATTTGCCAGATGGGCGTAAATGTCCCAAGACTAGATGGAGTGAGTTGGTCTGGTGTACGTTTCTGATGTAGTTCCATATCTCACCTCATATACCCAAGGGTACCTAGGTAGGCTAAAGGGGTGTGCGCTTCGAGATGTAGAACCCTCCGCTACATCATGATGCCTACCTCAACATTTCATGTCAACATTCCTATGTCTTCATACTTATTCCACTAGCATGCTCATTTAGTGAATGCATGTAGTACAATACAATTATTAGTGTGACACCGAGCTCGTAAGCATAACATTCGAAATGTGTTTTCGTACGCAAGTTCTTAGGATACCGTTCATGGAGCGTTATCGTCACAAGATATTCCATATTAGTCGAGGCTTCAGAGTACGTCTTGATTTATATAGAGGGCATGTACTATTTATATACCCTTTTGTATTTAGTCGTAAATGTATTTTGTTAAACTCAATATTGTTATTACTTTGGATGTTTTGGGAGCTCCCTCGTATTTGTAAACTCCGATTTGTTTCGCCTTTATATTATATCATTATGTATGGTCTTTAAATGAAGCTTTACAGTTGAATTTAAAAGAATTTTTTTTGGGTTAGCCACTTTGGTAGTCTCATGTGGCACTTTAATCCTTCGGTCTTCGGGTCGAACTGGATTAGAGTGTTACAATATCACCATTTTTGTTAAGTCAATGGTCAAATCTAGCGATTGATGACCAAAACATAAATGAAATGAAATGTAACATTAGATATAATTTAAAAAATAATAATTAATTGACAAAATAAAAACACGAGAACAGGTGTGTGACCAAATAGGCGGTTTACCTTAAAAAGATTCAATGTCTAAAGTTTCTTTAATTAGTGATTAAATTAATATATTTTAAAATATAATAATTAAAATAAGATTGATAAAGAAAGTTGTATAAATTACGCAAAATATATATACAATAAAACCTCTATAAATCAATAATGTCTGAATCACGTAATTTTATTAATTTAAAGATGTATTAATTAAGTGATAAATTAATAATTATTAATTTAAAGACGTAATTTTTCCCGATTGAATGAAACTACAATATTCTTCGTGAATAAAACATATACATTGTATTGACTAATTAAATGATATTCATGCACAATTTAAATAAATAAATATAATACATACCCCTAAAAAGGATAATGTTCTTGAAGTAACTACTAAAGAAGGCGTTCTTCGAATTGATATCATTATAAGGCGTTCTTTGAATTGATATCATTATATACGTTTTAAATAAGACTTGAAATATTAAAAATATATTTAAAAAATAAAATAATTTAGAAAAGAAACTTATAGCCGATTATCAGGAAATGTTAGCACAAGAAGAAATCTTTTGGGTACAGAAATTGAGGTTAGACTGGGTTTTAAAGGGCGAAAGAAATACTAAGTTTTTCCATATCACCACTAAAGTTAGAAGGAAAAATAACAGAATCATGGGTCTGTTTGTGGGAGATTCTTGGATAACTGAGTAGGCCTGTAAACGAACCGAACGCAGACGAACGGAGGTATGTTCATGTTCGTTCATTTAATAAATAAGCGAACATAAACGAACAAAATTCTTTTTGTTCATGTTCGTTCATTAAGGAATATAGCTTGTTCATGTTCGTTCATTTAATAAATAAACGAACATAAACAAACACAAACATAAACGAACACGAACATAAATGAACACGAACATAAACGAACATAAACGTTGGAGACCCTATCTTTCATTGTTCTTTCATGAAAAATAATCGACAATGCAAATCAACCAAATCTACAGTGATAATAGCGTAAGAGCTGATTAACAGTGATGAAATGTTTGAAGATATCAGATATTTCGATTAATCTTTTAAAGATATTAAATGATTCACACGACTTTAGAGTTAATTTGTTCGAATACGACAAAAACATACATAAATCATAAGTAAGCTATATGAATATAATAAAGTCTTAAAGTTAATTTGTTCAACAAAACAATCTTCTTGAAATCCAAACAACTTCAATAATATTCGTAACATATTCAACTTGCATTCATGTTCAGTCGTTAATTCATCATCCATCCTGATCAAAATCAAACAAATAAATTATATTAAATTAAAGGAGTTATAACAAAAGATGAAAAATATACTAAATTAGCGAGGTTATACCAATTCATTCATCCTCATTTTCAAGGAATCTCAACATGTATGATATCTTCGTTTTGCTACAACAAATCAAAAAACCAAAAATATATTAGTCATTGTAAAACCAAATTCAATAAAACTTAAAACATAAAAATACCTTGTTTTTATTTTTCTCTAACCCATAGTATTGACGATACCAATCAGCTCCACAAACAAGCATATCTACCATCTTAGTTCCTAAAGAGGATCGATGCGGATCAATAACCCTCCCACCAGCACTGAAAGCAGATTCAGAAGCAACAGTAGTGACTGGAATTGCCAATATGTCAGCAGCCATTTTTGACAAAATGTTAAATTTAATATTGTTCTCCTTCCACCATCCCAAGGCATCAAAATATACACCAGGCTCACCAATTAAAACTCCTTCCTCCAAATAAGTGTCCAATTCTGACTTGACAAATGTAAAAGTATCGACACTTCTAATATGCTGGTCATATTTAGCTGTGCCAGTTTTAATACCTTTACCAAATTGACTGAATAAGGAGCTAACACTACTCTTAGAAGTACCACCAATACTAACACTTTGACTCCCATCAGTAGATGAAACAACATTTGCTGCTTTATGAGCCTCAACATATCCTTGGTACAACTCATATAAAATACATCGAACTATTTGTATTTCTCTCGAAGCCTCATCATGTGAATAAATAGTATGGAAAGAAAACTCAAGCAATTTCATTTTATACCTGATAAAGAGAATGACATCAATTAGAACTCAAATAAATTCATTAAAATAAAATTCAAACAACTTAAATTTATACTTGGGATCTAAAATGGCACCAATTGAAATTAACAAGTTACAAGTACCTCAATACTTGTCAAATTTTTTCTTCTTCTTCATAGCCATAGCTACCATGTAATCACTTCCTCCTAAAACTACTGCATCCAATTCTAGTTTTATCCCAAACAATTCGCTAAGAAATAAATTGGATGTAGGATATTCGGAACCTATAATATTCAAAAAATAATTAGTAGTAAATTCTTTGTATTAAAAATTAATAAAAAGAAATCAAGTTATACCTGAAATGATTTTTGTAGCTTCATTGAAAAGTGCCAAGACTGAGCAAACCTCTTCAACTTTTTTCCAGTCTTCCTCGCTCAGTAAAGTAGTGTATGTAGACTCTCGATCGACATAATTCACAAACACTTCTTTGAACTCTAAAGCAGTAGACAACATAGCATATGTAGCATTCCACCTGGTACTAACATCTAAAATCAAGCTTTTTTTGGCATTGAAAGTTGTTTGGCGAGTTCACTAAAAATATGCAATCGACCCGGAGAGGCATTGACATGTTTCACACTCTCACGAACATTATGAATTATGTCTTCAATTTCTCCAAGACCATCATGAACTAACAAATTAAGAATATGTGCACAACACCGCACATGAAATAATTTTCCACCAACATCAAGTTTCTTCTGAAGATTCAAATTTTCCATCAATTTTCTAGCCACCACATCATTAGTCTTAGCATTGTCCACTGTCAAAGTCACCACCTTTGTCTCAATGTTCCACTCCTTTAGACACTTAAAAAGTGAATCATAGATACATGCTCCAGAATACGGTGGAGACAAGTCAACAAAACTTAATATGCGTTTGTGAAGCTTGAAATCAGAATCTACAAAATGGCATGTAACTACCATGTAATGGATGTTTTGATTCGATGTCCACATATCTGTAGTGATGCTCACACGCTTGACAGAACCCAATAATTTTTGAACTCTTTTCTTTCCAATCTCATAACTGGAAATACAATCTTGTTTAACAGAAGCACGTGAGATCTTGTTAAATCCTGGATTTGCTTCTTTCATTACCACATTAAACAGTCCATACTCCACAAAATTAAAAGGTAATTCATGAACCATGATCATGTGGGAAATAACCTCTCTCATCTTTGCATTGTCAAACTTCAAATTTCAAACCATAGATGAAGAATCTGATTTGCCAGGCTGCACTTTTAAACTTAATTGACCTCTGTTAACCACTTTCAACTTTGGACAATCACCAATATGCCTATGCAACGGTGTGGTGGTTCCATATTTCATTTTCTTAAACTTTTCTCCACAATGGCTACATTCAGACAAGTTAGTTCCATCATGCAACTTTACCATCCGGAAATGTTCCCAAACTCCCGAAGTCTTCTTTCTCTTCCTTCTAGTGAATGGAGTTAGTTCTTCATTGTTAGTTGCATCAACGTGTTCTACACTATCTGTAGCTGCTGCATCTACTTCTTCGTTATCAGCTGTAATAAAAACAACATCTGGATTTTGTGTACTTTCCATGGTTGGAGTGTTGGTACTTGATTCAAATTCAGTTGATTCAAGTGGCGAATCAGACATCTGTGGTACAACAATGAGTGAATGTTAGCGTTAGTAAATAAAAGGATTTTTTTCTATTATCAAATTAAATAAGTAGCATATCAACTAAAACAGCACAACTAAATTGATGTAAAGCAAACACAGCGGCAATAGAATGAAACCAACTTGCAGTAGCGACCAGAATAACTAAACCTACTAAAATATGGCATCATAACAGTACATAACACCAAAACATCATCAATATTCAACCCATCTCAACATCAATCCACTCCCCATATCATACTAACACCAATACAAACCAAGCATGTATATGGAGTTATAACAAAGTGGACAACAATTTCGATATACCGCAAACACAACACCAAATGGATACATCGGCTCAGCAACAAAAACCATATTCATCGAACATAAACAACCTACCCACAGGGGCATAAACGAAGGCCATCAATAGTCTTTCACAACACTGCACAGCACCAGTAAATCTCTAACTGTAGGAATAGGGTCTTACTTGTTCGGGCATTTTAGTATGCCATAGATTCACCAAACTGCACATTTCCTTTTTTCCACGAACCAAAAATTAAAAAACACAAAACATGCCATAAAAAATCCTTAACAAAAAACCAATCCACCACGTGACAGGGCAGGGCAGTTTCATGTTTTCCAACCTTGATTAGGCTATCATCAATACTAGTATATTCTTTTCTGGGTTTATGGGCAGTTTCATGTTTTCCAACCTTGATTAGGCTATCATCAATACTAGTATTCTTTTCTGGGTTTATATCACTTCAGATTACTTGTATTCAACCAAGTGTGAAAGCAAAAGAGAAAGACAGGACGAGAAACATAGGAAAAATCTAATAAACCAACGCTGCGAAAGCCTAAAACTTTCCCAACTTCAACCATAGAGCAAAGCAATATTTTCGTGAGAAAGAGACTTGGTCTCATGCGTGTCTCTATTGGGACTCCACACATTTCTGCATCTTCTTCTCCCAAGGTTGGAACTTGAAAGAGAGAAAAAAAGCAAGAAATTAGTGAAGATGACACGGAGATTACTCACATGGAAAGAAAATGAGAACAATAAGAGGAGAGAACGGAGAAGAAGAGCCATAGCTGCAAACATATACTCTGGCCTCTGAGCTCAAGGCAGTTATAAGCTCCCCAAACATTTCGACAACAATGAGGTCTTGAAAGCTCTTTGTGCTGAGGCTGGTTGGATCGTTGAAGAAGATGGCACCACTTACCGCAAGGTTTCCTTTTCCCTTCACTTCACTTGTACATAATTTTACTTTTTGAAGCTTGTTCTAAAACGGGTTTCTGTTCATCTTTTGATGCAGGGATGCAAGCCACCTCTGTTGGAGCTCGGAGCGGCTTCGACCAATATCAGTTCATGTTCATCTATTCAACCCAGTCCACAGTCTTTAGCCAACATCAGTTCATGTTCATCTATTCAACCCATTCCACAGTCTTCATCTTTCCCAAGCCCCGAACCTTCTTACCATGCGAGTCCCTTATCTTCCTTATGCCCGAGTCTGACTCGTTTCAATTCAAATACCTCGACTCACCTCCTTCCATTCCTCCACAACATTGCAGCCATATCCAGCAGCACTCCACTGACCTCGCCACTTTCTTCCCCCACTAGAGGATATAAGCGCAAATCTGACTGGGACTCCTTAAGAGCAACTCTAACGATGATGACTGGACAACGAGGGGTGGGCTAGAGAAGACTGACTGGTCGAATGCACCGTTCATAGCGGCATACAAGGGGATCCACTTCGTTCAAAATGCCACAAAAAATCCCTAAATTCACATCCCGAAATTAACAGACCAAAAAAAATTCAAATTATTTACCTTATGAAATCACGTTCAAGAAGGGAAAGAGATGAAGCTCTGTCGAATCGTTGCAGTTGAAGACTTGAAGCTCCGTCGAATCGTTGAAGTTGAAGACTTGAAGCTCCGTCGAATCGTTGCAGAAATGAAAATTGTGGAGGGTGGGGAGAGTTGAGAATCAAGAACAGCTGAATGACGGGTTGGAGAAGAGTTGAGAAAAAATATTGTTTTTAGATTTAGGGTTTTTTGTATTACCGCTTAATCAGGCTGTAAAATTGGGTTAATTATGAAGTTGGTCATCAAAATATCATATTAATTAATATTTTTCAGATACATACAAATTGATCACCAAAATTGATTTAAGAATATTAGGTTAAACATAAATGAACGCACATAAACGAACATAAATAAACGCATATAAACGAACATAACCAAACGTTCACGAACGTAAATGAACGAACGAGACCTATGTTCATGTTCGTTCATTTAATTAAACGAACACAAAATCTTGTTCATGTTCGTTCATTTAATAAATAAACGCACATAAACGAACTTCCCGCCGCACGGTTCATGAACGATTCGCTGAACGTTCAGTTCATTTACAGGCCTATAACTGAGAAAAACACGCTTGAAAATCATGTGGTTAATTACTATAAACAACTTTTTATGAGGAAGAAAATGGAAGCCATGAATAAGAATTTTAAGAAATTGCTACCGTTGATCAATAGAGACTATACAACTGAGATTACAAAAGAGGTGACTTCAGATGAGATCAAGAAAACTCTCTTTTCCATGAAAAACCTTAAAGCTACGGGACCGGATGGCGTCCAACCCATTTTTTTAATAAACAGTGGAGCACTGTGAAGAATACGCTTTACCAGTTTGTTAATAACGCCTTTGCTACTCATTGTGTAGAGAATAGCATCCTTAAAGTTAATTTGGTGCTGATTCCAAAGTCAAATGTCGTGGATAGAACACCTTTATTTCGCCCTATAAACCTGTTTAATACAACCTATAAAGTTTTATCTAAAATTCTGGTCAATCGGGTTGAGATCGATTCTCCAGAGAATTATTGGCCCTTTTCAAAATAGTTTTTTTTCTGGTCAAAATGCTACTGACAATATTCTCGTAGTGTAGGAAGTTGTCCACTCGATTATGAACATGAAAGGAAGGAAGGGAGCCATCATTATGAAAATTGACCTCTAAAAGGCTTACAATAATGTGAACTGAAATTTTAATACGATGCAGGATTTTGATTTCCCTCTGGATATGATCTCGCTAATCATGTACTGCATTCAAAATAGAGAAATTGAATTACTTATGAATGGTGAACGAACAGAAGGATTTTTACCAAGCTAGGTTCTGAGACAAGGGGACCCGTTGTCCTCTTACCTCTTTGTTTTAGTAATGGAAGGACTATAGCATATGCTACTGGAGGAAGTTGACAACGGAAGTTGGAAAGCTTTAAAAATTGCTAGAGGAGGGACTAATGTAAGTCAACTCTTTTTTGCAGATGACCTTCTGCTGTTCATGGAGGCGAATGCGATTCAAGTTGGAAAAGCTCGGGATTGTTTAAGAAGTTTCAGCAAAGCTTCGGGTTTCGCGGTTAATCTACAAAAATCAAAGATGTTCATTTCTTATAATATTACAGAAGAAACATCGGCTTATCTTACAACGCTGAGCGAATTTCCTTTGACAACCGGTCTTGGAACCTACCTAGGGTACCTATAATTCAAAAGAGGGCGAACTCGAATACGTATGGTCACCTAACGGAAAAAGTGATGAAGAAATTAGCCGGTTGGAAAGGGGAGATTCTTCCCATGGCAGGAAGGTGTACTCTTATTCAAACGGTCACATCAATAATTTTGATTCATACGATGCATACGACTTTACTCCCGACGGCAACTTGGAATGGACTTGATAAACTGAATAGGAATTTCCTATGGGGGAGACTCTGAAATCCATCCACAATCACTTGGTGAATTGGAAGGCGATCTGCAAATCAAAATCTGATGGGGGACTAGGTTTAAAAAATGATGCTGTGTTTAGGGATATGAAGGGGATACCGGATCAGTTTTTGCCATGGGACTTTAATGCCTTTGAATCGGAACTCTTCCCATATTTCTTTTGTACTCTTTGCTCCTCGAGCGACACTTCTTAGTTTCAAAATTTTCCTGATGCTCCAGGTAGAACTCAAAGTTTCTTCCATGAGCCAGAAATCTTGATGCTTGCAGTTTCCCGTTATCTTTGTTGACACAATTTTGCACTGTTTTTCTGTTTTTGCCTATGAAGGTGTATATAGATAGTTTTCACACCTACCTGTATTTAGATACGAATTTTCTAATTTTTCTTCCAGATATACTTGGGAAAGGAGAGCCATCCTGGAGCATTTACTGAAGGTTCATTGCTTGCTGTTGGCGGTCGATATGATTATTTACTTCATCAAATGTGGGATTGTGAAAATGTAATGCACCTTTGGCTCCTTTCCCACTTTTCCTTTTTTGCACTATTGTATGTGCATGTGCACTTGCCAAGCAAGTTGAATGCATGATTAACGTACATAGTTTCACGTTCATGTAGAATGAGAACCCAATAACTAATAAGTCAATATATATAGTTTCACCGAGGATGTATTTTCACAAGTTGTTACATCTCTCCCATCTGATCAAATAAAAGAGTTGGATTTTGAAAATTGGATTGTTGGGAAAATCATGTCTGAGATTCCGGTTGACGGACCAGCTCATGGCCGGGTTTTCCGGGCAATATGGAAGAGTGACAATGTGGTTGAGATCGTGGAGCTTCGGCCGAGATTCTTTCATATTAAATTACGATCGGCAAAGGCTAAGGATGATATTTTGAGGCGTGGTCCATGGTCGTTTAATAATGTTTGGTTTTCATTGCTCTCATTCGACCCTCTTTCATGTCCTGAGGATTATGATTTTTCACATATGGAGATTTAGATCCGGATTTATCAGGTGCCATTGGGTCTTATGACTAAAGCAATGGCGATCTCGCTTGGTGGTAGTATGGGGACGATCATTACTGTTGATACGAGAGGGTCCTTGGTGGTAATATGGGTGATTTTCTACTTGTACTAGTTCGGTTCGATGCCATGAAGCCTTTACGCCGCTGTATCGCCCTTGGGATTCCTGGTAATTCTAAACCTCGTTTATGCCCAGTACGTTATGAGAGGTTGCCTGCTTTTTGTTTTGGTTGTGGATTGTTGGGTCATCAAGTACCATCTTGTCGTACAGTTTCTATTACAACATCTTCTAAACTTCAGTATGGCGAATGGATGCGTTTGCCTCCTCCAAAAACTACTCGTCCTACTAGTGTGAAGAAGGGTGTTGAATATATTTCTGTTATGGAATCAGCTCCATTGACTTGTCCAGCTGCTCTTATAGTTGATTGTGGTAAGCGACCAAATTTGGTGGAAGGTTCCTCACATGCTGTTGATAATGCAGAAGTGAACAAGGAGGTCGAATGTGTGGTTCCCATTGAAAATAATGAATTGAGTCCTTTATCGCCGACCGAATCTGGTCAAATTGTGGAGAATACAAGTACAAAGGTGGTGGTCGACAACCCTTCAACAGGAGATATGTCCAATAAAATTGTAGTTGTGGAGGAAACTGAATATTCAAATACTCCAGTTACGATGGTTAAAATTGGTAATGATGGTCCATATATTTTAACAAATTGTTTGACTAAGCGTGGTTTACAGGGCAAATACGAGGTTAATAACCCAATTTTGTCTAAGCGAATAAGACTTACACATACTTCAACAAATGATGTTGGGATGAGCAGCTCTAAAAACTCTGTGGCGGCGGTTGAGGCTCAACCCCGCCGAGAACAATGATTGTCTTGTGTTGGAACTGTCGTGGTCTAAACAACGCTACGACAGTTCGTGCGATTGACCGATATATCGGTCTTAAGAGTGCAAATGTTGTTTTTCTTAAGCGAGACTAGAATAAAGCAAAACAAGAGTAACTATATACGTTGTAAGCTTGGTATGGATAATTGTTTCGTTGTAGACAAAAGCAATGATTGTACTGGGCTAATGCTCTTGTGGAATAATATATAAATGTCTCGATTTTATCGTACTCTCGGTTTCATATTGATTCTATCATTGATGATGGCACTAGCAAATTTCTTTTCTCAGGTTTATATGCAAGTTACCATGATAATTTCAAGATTGAGGTTTGGTCCACAATTCATTATTTACAAAATGCCTCTAATTTTCCATGGTTATTGGGCAGGGATCTTAATGCCATCCTTAATGATTCTGAAAAACAAGGTGGGCGAAGGAAATCAAGAGTTCAAATGGATGAGTTTCGTATGATGCTTGCCAATATGGTTTATTTGATGTTTAAGCCTGCTAGGTTGGTTTACGTGGGTGAATCATGCTATTAAGGAACTTATTGATCGTTTTGTTGCTTCCAAAAGTTGGCTACAACAATTTCCAAATGGTAAGGTATTTACTGAATTTGTTGAAACTTCTGATCATTGTTAGTTATGGTGGGCGAAGGAAATCAAGAGTTCAAATGGATGAGTTTCGTATGATGCTTGCCAATAATGGTTTTATTTGATGTTAAGCCTGCTAGAGGTTGGTTTACGTGGGTGAATCATGCTATTAAGGAACTTATTGATCGTTTTGTTGCTTCCAAAAGTTGGCTACAACAATTTCCAAATGGTAAGGTATTTACTGAATTTGTTGAAACTTCTGATCATGTTAGTTATTAATGGATACTACTTGGGTTCAACCTAAATTCAAGGATCAAGTGATAATTATTTTCGTTCGAACAATGTTGGGCTTCTGAGGAAGCTTGTAGAATATTAGTTAAGGCCACTTGGGATCTACTTATTCTGATATTCTGGATAAATTGCTGAGGTTGGGTCAAACTTAGTTCTTGGCAAAAGGATTGTTTGGCTACCTCTCGTGGTAGAATTCAAGTTCTTCGGAATAAAATTAATTCTTCTTTCAGTCGTCATACTTCGGAGGCAGAATTGCAGAATCTCAAAAGAGATAAAGAGGAATTGAATATTCTTCTTAATAAGGAGGAGGTGTATTGGATGCAAAGGTCTCGAGTTCAATGGTTGGCTAATGGAGATCGAAATACTTCATATTTACATGCTCGTGCTAATGGTCGTCATAAGAAAAATTATATTCGGGGCTTAATGGATAAAAATGGCATCTGGAAGGAAGGTAAGCAGGAGATTAAGGATATTGCGGTTAACTAATTTCAGGATTTATTTGCTTCTGCGAGTGCTCTCTGATGATTCTGTTATTGATGCTATTGATACGGTCATTACTGATGAAATGAATGGTGCGCTTTGTGCGGATTTTACTACTGATGAAATTATTGCAGCTTTTCGTGATATTCATCCGTTGAAGGCACCTGGCATTGATGGTATTCTGACGAGTTTCTATCGATTGCATTGGGATATTGTTGGGGCAGATGTGGTCCATTTGTGCTTACAATTGTTACAAGGTACATTAGACATGAGTTTGATTAATAAGACAGTGATTGTTCTTATTCCAAAAATATTGATCTCAACATGAAAGCATCTTCGCCCAATCAATCTTTGTACTGTAGTTTATAAAATTGTTTCTAAGGTTCTGGTTTGACGACTTAAGGGGCTTATGTCGAGTTGCATTCATGAAACACAAGCTGCCTTTCTTCATGGACGCCAAATCTCATATAACATATTGGTGGCACATGGCTATTCATTATGAACTCTTCAAAAATGGTCAGATTAAGGGTGCTGCTATTAAATTGGATATGGAGAAAGCGTACGATAGAGTGGAATGGTCTTTTCTGATAAAGGTTATGTTAAAGCTAGGTTTTTGTATTGATTGGGTAAATCTTATTATGAGATGTGTGAAAATTGTCTCCTTCTCTATTCGTATCAATGGTAGTCTCACTAAGGAGTTTAGGCCAAATCGAGGGTTATGATAAGGCGATCCTTTATCTCCATTTTTATTTCTTTTCTGCACTCAGGGGTTATCCGCTCTATTTAACCGTTTGCAGGCTCAAAGGAAGATTCATGGAATGGGGGCAAGTCGGAATGGGCCTAAGGTAACTCATTTATTTTTTGCTGATTATAGCCTTATCTTCATTAAGAACTCTTTACATGAGGCTTCTATTATTCGCGATGCTCTTGGTGCTTATGAAGCTGCTTCTGGTCAAAAGGTGAATCTTGAGAAATCGACATTATATTTTAGTCCAAGTACGAGACAAGAATGTCGTGATCAAATTTCGAGTATCTTGGGTATTGGTGAAGTGCCTGATTTGGGACACTACCTTGGTATGCCTCTTCACATTGGAAAGAATAAGAGAAATACATTTGGTTATTTGAAAGAAAAGGTTTATAATAGGATTGACGGTGGACGAACATCTTTCATTTGGAGGTGAGGTATTTCTTAAAGCTGTAGCCCAAGCTCTTCCTCATATTATGTCTTGCTATCGACTTCCTGATGTTGAGTCAGGATTTGGTGAGTAATAGGCATTACTGGTGGTCAGGTGATGCTAATAGGCGTGGTTGGCCAATGGTTGCTTGGAAAACAATGTGCAAACCCAAAAGAGAAGGTGGGATGGGATTTTGGGACTTACATAGTTTCAATTTGGCTTTATTAGGCAAACAATTATGGCGCTTTATCAAGGATCCAGAGCGTTTGGTGGCTCGAGTATTTCGTTCTAAATATTTTTCCCATGGTGATATGCTGCTGCATGCTACTTTAAAGGATAGAAGTCCTTATGCTTGGAAAGGTTTATACCATACATTACAAGAGATGTGTGGGGCTCTTTTTTGGTGTATTGGTATACGAAGTAATAAACGGGTTCACCATGATATCTGGGGTGGTTCAAAAGTTGTTTCTCTTACAAGGAGTTATTCTAACTCTGATCTTAATCCTCTTTATTGTTCTGATCTTATGATTGATGGCTCTAATGTTTGGAATGAATCTTTGATTTATAGGTTGTTTTCTAAGGAAGATGCTATGCAGATTCTTTCAGTTCCTATTGCACCTTGTGCTGAAGATGTTATTGTTTGGGCTAATCATGATTCGGGTATCTACTCAGTTATATCTGGTTATTGGTGGTTACAGAAACGACATCATGATAATGAGAGGAAGTCTAAATTGTGGTCAGTTATGGTTAAATTGAAAATTCTTCCTAAGATACGTATGTTTGCTTGGCGGGTTGCCCGGAATACATTACCCGTGGGAAGTCGACTTAAAAGTTCTTATTTTGGTGATGGAATTTGTCCTATGTTCTAATGGGGAAGAGACGATTATACATGCCATGAGGGGCTGTCCTGTAACTTTGGAGACTTTACGTCTAGCAGATCTGCCTCTTTCTATAATTTTAAGTACTATGGAGAATCCTTTATTATGGATGGAGGAAGTACTCTCTATTATAGGAATTGATTCTTTTGCTGGATTTTTGATACTTCTGTGGAATGTCTGGAATAATCGAAACTCATTTGTTCATTCTGACAGGTTGCAACCGGCGTGGCTCTTGGTGACTAATGCAAACATACTACATCAGGATTATTTAAGGGCTATTAGTGGGGATGAATAAACAACGGTCTACAAATACTGCTATACGATGGACTCCACCTTTGGAGGGAGTTATCAAAGTGAATGTTGATAGTGCCTTTGTTGCAGATCGCCAACTGTCTGCGATTAGAGTTGTTGCTCGTGATAAGTATGGACAGGTGTGTGGTGGTTTGACCCAGTCTTTTGTTGGATGTTTTGAGGTGGGTTTTGCGGAACTATCTGCTTTACTCGTTGGTCTTAGACTGACTTGTGATATGAGATGGTCTGATGTTCAGTTTGAAACCGATTTCTTGATGCCCGTCCATAAGATTACACGAACTTCTACATATATTTCCACCCTCGGATTGTATGTTCAAGAGGCTCGTACTATTTTTCAAGATCATCCTCGTTTTTGTATTTTATATACTCCTAGAGAATGTAATCATGTTGCTCATGTATTACCCAGCTGGGCTTTAAATTCGGGTGGTTCTTTGTTTTTTGAGTCGGTTTGTCCCGACATCATTGTTCAGAATGTTAAAAACGATGTCATTGATCTTTGATTATTATAAGTTGGGCACTCTTTTCCCCTTACTAGGTTTAGAAGGGTGTTTTGATGAGGCCATGAGTTTCATTAAAAAAATATTACACAGTTTACTTCCTATTGTCATTTATTGAATACTTACAATGAATATTGGATTATTGTTCCAGCAATAAATCCCTGCCAGTCTTAAGCATGTGCAATTTAGAAGTCAAAAAATCATGGTTTCTTAGGTTTCACTAGTGTGTGTATGCTCCTGGTATACGCATAATTTCCAAAATCATCTCATCTATTTAGTGAGTGAAACTTGTTTCTCTTTTCTTGGCATCTTCCAGAAAATAAATCATCCAGGTGCCGTTGGAACCAGCCTTGCACTTGAGACTATAATCCAGCATTGTCCTGAAGATTTCAGGCCTATTAGGTGCAGTTGCCTCCTATTACTTACCTCTATCTTCTTGGTATTTATTTGATTCATTTACCGTACTCATGGTTGACGCCAGACAGAATAGTGATTATCCTGTAGGCTAGCTCCGACAGACGATTCACAAGAGAAAATTCGCCCAAAAACCAGAGAAAAAAAGTCTCTAGGGTTTAATAAAATATTATAAAATCAATAACTATCTCAAAAGCAGTCCACAAGCCGGACTGTTATAGCAAAAAAAATCGTCTTTATTCGAATTTTGCCAAAATAGCAAAAATCGTATTTATTCGAATTTTGCCAAAATAGCAAAATCCCGAAAATCACTCTAAATTGAAATTCGAAATAAAATAAGCATCTCCCAAAATCCGGTCTAAATCGGATTTAAATTGACTTCCTAATTAACAATCGAAATATTACCATATAGTAAAAAATAACTAAATCTAGTGATTCGGAGGGGAAAACGGCAGAATTTGAGGTTGAAAAAAAGGCCACATGGAGCATAGATCCATGTGGAGAGCGTGCGCGTCGAAAAGAGCTTTTCGGATTGGGGTCTTATGCGCGATTCTGACACCTGTAGCCAAAGTTATGGCCAAAAGACTGAAACATACTCAAAACGACCCCAATAAGGAACATGTCACAATCAATTCCCGCCTTTGCGCTGATCTGCCAACTCATGGGTATCTCAGCGCCATCAACGTGCAATCTGACAGCTCAGCATCATCTGTCTCGGATCCCCCTGCATCAGTCGCCCCGGGTTGGAAAGAACTCGTCCTCGAGTTCAGAGTAGTGTCATCAGGATCCACAAAACAATGACTCAGGTGCTTCACATTAAAGACATCAGAAGTCTTCAAGTGACTGGGAAGTCGTAACCTGTAAGCATTATCATTGATCTTCTGCACGACCTCACAAGGTCCAATCTTCCGATCCTTAAGCTTATTATACTCACCAACAGGAAAACGATCACGAGTTAATACAGCCCAAACAAAATCACCAACATCAAAAGTACCTGACGACGATGATGTCGACCCGAGTCTTGTACTTGGTATTGCTCTCATGAATGGTCTGTTTCACCTGCTCATGGATACCCCGAAGATACTTTGCCATCTCATCTGCTTTAGGACTGAAACGTCCTATACGTGGAATAGGGGCTAAGTCCAACACCCCGGATGGGTTCTGACCATAGACAATCTCAAATGGGCTTAAACCTGTGGTTCTGTTTTTTGATCTGTTGTAGGCAAATTCTGCCTGAGGCAATGCCAAATCCCACTGCTTCGGCTTCGTTCCTGCCAAACCCCTTAAAAGGTTTCCCAAACTTCGGTTCACCACCTCAGTCTAGCCATCCGTCTGGGGGTGGTAGGCGCTACTGAAATTCAACTGTGTTCCCAGTTTCCCCCACAGGCTCTTCCAGAAATGACTGATGAACTTAGTATCACGATCTGAAGTGATGGATCGAGGAACACCATGTAAACGCACAATCTCCTTGAAATAGAGATGGGCAATCCGGTCAGCATCCATAGTCTTTCTGCAAGCTACAAAATGAGCCATCTTGGAAAACCTGTCAACCACAACAATATAGAATCAGAGGCCCTTTGGGTGCGGGGTAAGCCTAGTACAAAATCCATGCTGACATCGAACCAAGGAGCTTCAGGAACAGGTAAGGGAGTGTACAATCCCGCATGGTGAGAACTCCCTTAGACCGCTGGCACACATAACAACGGTCCACATAATGGGTCATCACTAGTCAACTTGGGCCAATAAAATTCAGAAGAGATAAGGGCCAATGTCTTATCTCGGCCAAAGTGTCAAAGTGTCCCTCATTATGGAGTTCACTTATAATTTGCTGCCTCAATGAACATCTGAATGCACAATTGTAATCACGAAACAGATACCCATTATGCAAAACAATCATGACGGTGACCCTCAGTTACCTCCTGAAATATCCTTCCAAAGGAAGGATCAGCTGCATATATATCTGTGAACTCTCAAATCCTGCAACTTTAGTACTCATGGTGGTGAGAAGTAAGTACGACGGCTCAGGGCATCTGCGACGCGGTTCAAACTCCCTGCTTGGTGCCTCAGCGTAAAAGTGAATTCTTGCAAGTATGCTACCCACTTGGCATGACGTCTACTCAGCTTGTGTTGGCCATTGATGTACTTCAAGGCCTCATGATCGGTAACAGAATAAACTCCTTCTGTACTAGGTAGTGACGCCAATGCTTCAGGGATGAACTATGGCATAGAACTCCAGATCATAAGTGGAATAATTTTTCTTTGATCCCGATAGCTTCTCACTGAAAAAAGCAACCGACACCTGCCTGACTCAGAACACCACCAATGCCAACGCCAGATGCATCACAATTTACCTCGAACACTCTGTCAAAATCTGGAAGTGCCAAAACTGGAGCCTCGGTCATCTTCTGCTTGACCAGTTGAAAACTGGCCTCTGCCTCCTCAGACCACTGAAATCACACCCCTTGAGGCACTCTGTGATAGGGGCGATCAGAGTACTGAAATTTCTAAGAATCGACGGTAAAAAACGCCAAGCCATGGAAACTTCGGATGTATGTAAGGTTCTTGGTCTGGGCCACTCCAAGACTGCATCTATTTTGACTGATCTGCATGAACACCATCAGTAGACACAACAAAACCAAGAAAAGTCACAGAAGTAGTGAAGAAAGAACACTTCTTTTGATTGACAAACAAGCACTCTCCGTTTCAGCATCTCAAAAACAGCACGGAGGTGATCGAAGTGTGAAGTCCATGTCGGACTATAAATGATATCATCGAAGTAAACTACAACAAATTTCCCCATAAAGGCCGCAAGACCTGATGCATAAATCTCTGAATGTACTGGGCGCATTGGATAACCCAAAAGGCATGACCATCCACTCATACAACCCTTGTGGCGTTTAACGCCGTCTTCCACTCATCTCCAGGCCTTATTCTGATTTGGTGGTAACCGCTCTTAAGTCAATTTTTGAGAAGATCTTAGAACCAGATAACTGATCCAACATATCTCTAGACGGGGAATTGGAAACCGGTACTTCACTGTAATTCTGTTGATCGCTCGGTTTCAACACACATACGCCAAGAACCATCTTTCTTTGGCACTAACAGAGCAGGGACTGCACATGGGCTCATACTCTCTCGGATATAGCCCCTCTCCAACACTCTTCCACCTGTCGCTGCAACTCTCGGCCTCTTGGGACTGAGGCGATATGCTGGTCGATTTGGCAAACTTGACCCAGGAACAAGGTCAATTTGATGCTGAATATCCCTCATAGGTGGTAGTCCAGGAGGAGATCCTCTGGCATCAGTTAGAGAATTCTGCTAGCAACCGCTGCACCTCTACTGGTAAATCTGTATCCACGTCTACTGCATTGTTCTCGCAAGGTAGCAAGGCATAGACCACACGTCGCCATGCTCAATCTCATCTAAAAACCTGGACATAGAAAGCAGATTAGTATTATGGGTTACTGGGGTGGAGTAAGTCCTTCCCGCCGGGGTGCCAACACAATCTTTTTTTCCCTTGATGCTAAGGGAAATATGTATTCTTCCGTCCATCATGAATGACACTGCGATCATACTGCCAAGGTCGACCCAACAATATATGACACGCATCCATAGACACAACATCACACCAGGCATTATCAAAATATTTTCTACCAATTGAAAAAGACACCAGGCATCGCCTATCAACTGTTACCTCACTGTCTTATTTAGCCATGACAACTTGTATGGCTTGGATGACGGTCCGTCTTCAACTGCATTTCTGGACAACCTCCTCGGGACACTACATTCTCACAACTGCCGCTGTCAATGATCATTTTGCAGACTTTATCTGCAACTGTGCAAGTCGTGTGGAAAATATTGGTTCTCAACCAATCGTCCCCTGAATCGCCCTTGGGGGTAAGTAGACTCTTGCGAACGACCAGAGTCTCATGACCATCTCCATACAGCACATCATCAGTCTCATCATTGTCATACAGGGTTCGCTAATCTCCTCAGTCTCGTCTTCCACGTTTTCCTCAATCAACAAATTTTTTGCCCTTTTGACTAGCAGGCTTCCTGCAATCAGTCGCCCTATGCCCTTGTTCACCAACGAAAACATCTAATAGTAGGGTTAGAATTACCTTGCGTGGCTGCTGAGCAGGACGGGACTCTTGAGGGCGAACTGGTCGACTGTTGTGATCGCTCCTGATCACTGGTCTCCTGTTTGCTGTTTTCAACAGCAAGTGCACGCTGGTATGCTTCGAAACACTCCACAATGAATGAAGGCTGAGGACATCTTGCAAGGGCTGGCGTAAACCCCCCAAATATCGCGCCACCATCTGCTCCTCCGTCTCAGATAAATCGTTCCGGGCGACCCAATTGGTAAAACTCCTCCGTGTAATCATCGACTCGCGCGCCCTGCCTCAACGCATGAATCGCTGAAATAAGGTTTGCGTGTAGCCGAAGGGAAGGAAGTGGCCCTTCATCTTCTTTTTCATCTTCTCCCAATCAGTGATCTTGGCTTTGCCCTGTCTTTCTCGTGAACGTCGTAACTGTTCCACCACGCAGATGCTCTGCCCTTGAGTTTGATGGCGATCAGTTTCACTTTCACACGATCGGGACTTCCTTATATTCAAAAATACGCTCCACTTCATTAATCCAATCCACGAATCCCTCGGCCTGTAATGTACCAGAAAACTCAAGGAGATCAACCCGAAAACCGAGGTCTCCATGACGCTCCTACCGACCACGGTGCTCCCGGAATCCTGCCCCCGAATCCTGCGATTGTGATATGGGTTTTCGAAAGTGGAATTGGTATCGTGATCAGAGGCCTCACGATCCTCTAAATCCTGCGCCGCCAGGCGCTGGGTTAATTCTGCGACTTGCCTCTGCAAATCCGCAATCATCACATCCTGAACGCTGCGATCACGCGTTGGGCTTCCTCATTCGGAACCTGCTCACGACGACCACGACCTCCAGCCATTGAAACTGGTGAAATTTCTCAAGAAGATGTTGAAGCTCTGATACCAACTGACGCCAGACAGAATAGTGATTATCCTGTAGGCTAGCTCCGACAGACGATTCACAAGAGAAAATTCGCCCAAAAACCAGAGAAAAAGTCTCTAGGGTTTAATAAATATTATAAAATCATAACTATCTCAAAAGCAGTCCACAAGCCGACTGTTATAGCAAAAAAAAATCGTCTTTATTCGAATTTTGCCAAAAATAGCAAAAATCGTATTTATTCGAATTTTACCAAAATAGCAAATCCCGAAAATCACTCTAAATTGAAATTCGAAATAAAATAAGCAATCTCCCAAAAATCCGGTCTAATCGGATTTAAATTGACTTCCTAATTACAATCGAAATATTACCATAAATAGTAAAAAATAACTAAATCTAGTGATTCGGAGGGGAAAACGGCAGAATTTGAGGTTGAAAAAAAGGCCACATGGAGCGTAGCTCCATGTGGAGAGCGTGCGCGTCGAAAAGAGCTTTTCGGATTGGGGTCTTATGCGCGATTCTGACACCTGTAGCCAAGTTATGGCCAAAAGACGAAACATACTCAAAACGACCCCAATAAGGAACATGTCACAATCCATTCCCGCCTTTGCGCTGATCTGCCAACTCATGGTATCTCAGCGCCATCAACGTGCAATCTGACAGCTCAGCATCATCTGTCTCGGATCCCCCTGCATCAATGGTCCCGTCAACTTTGTGTTTCCTGCTGCAGAAATGAACCTACCACCAGCATCCTTGTTTGTTCAAGAGGAGGCGGGGGTCTGTTAAGGGAACGCATGGAACTTGTTGCTGAATTGTGGGAGGAGAATATCAAGGTTGGGGTTAGATTGTTTTTCTTGAACGTTCGATATAGTTTATTGTCGTTTTCATACTCATTTGTTATTCCTGTAGATCAGGCTGAGCTTGTTCCTATACATGATCCGAGCCTCACTGAGCAATACGAATTTGCAAGTGAACATGATATAAAATGTCTTGTTATCATAACTGACACGGGTGTATCTCAAACTGGATTCGTTAAGGTAATGCGGACCTGGGAGGTTATTTCTGTTTTCGTTTTCAATTTTTTTTACTACTTTAAAGACATTAGATAATATCTTCAGGTTCGTCATCTTGATCTTAAGAAGTAGAAGGAGGTTCAGAGAGAAGATCTTGTAAGATTTCTGTTGAATGCAATGGGGGACACAATTCCGTAACCCTTCAGTTTGGATCCAGTAACGCCTACATCAATTAGCAGGTTCTTAGTAGCCTTATGCTCCCATCGTAACTTTTCAACGATTCTCCAAATATATCTTTACTGAGATGAGATTTTGTTTGTATTTATCGCGTGTTGTTTACCCTTCAAACAATAGGTGTATAAGTCAGAATTCTTCCTTGCTGTCTCCTCTGGTGCCAGATTATGTTAACTGTGTAGTCTTTTGCATGAATCTATCACCAAGTTTTTGCAGCTTTAGTTTTGATTGAATTACATTACATGTTACGTAAATTCATCCGAAACCAATGTAAATACACAACGCTCCGGGTCTATGTATCAAACAAAATACAAAAAAAGAACGAGAAAGTAAGTAGTTGGTGATACAGACATCAACGTAATTCGTCATAGTTTTTGGTTTGGCTAAGACTACGAGCTGTGTATATCAGTGTGTATCTGCATGTGATGATGATTGTCCGGATTTGTATAACAATCTGAACCGACCCGGACCTGCCTTTGTTCCCCAGATTTCTATTTGCCAACCATATATAAGATTGACTTATGACCTCTAATCTTGCTTAATAACAATGTGATTTGATCCATTTTCAGTTTGATTTGGTTCTTGTAATATTGTTTTTATATATATTTCTTGAGTTACAGGAAAATGCATTGTTCGTCTTTATACATTAATGCTTCCATTTCATCAAATTACATTGTGGATGTCTAACTTAACAGTAAACAAACATTTCATCCATTAGCATTAGAAGAAACAGATCATACAAGTTACAATCAGTACAATAGTCGCAAGAAAGAATTCAAATTAACAACACAAGAACAACAAATCGAAACAGTTGCATGTTACGGTCTGCAACCGTAACAGCACAGTTAAGGTTACAATGTCACAGTCTGTGCCGTCATGAACTGTGACAGTAAGGTTAAGGTTACAGTGTCATGGCCCGTGCCGTTGACAGCATGATAAAAGTTTCAAGCCCCATTACACCTGCAAGATGCAAACCAGGATGTTATACTATAAAAATCCTGAAAACTACATCCTCTCATTCTCCATTTTTCACAGTTCCATTTCCTTGAACGATGACAGCAACTAAAACATTTTCTGCGGTCATTTAGAAATTGTGCTGCAAGAACAAGCTTTGTTGAGGAGATGCAGGGCCTATTTCTTCCTCCAAGCTTCTCAAACCATCCCCGGCATACCCTACATTCCCCGTGTTTCTTCCTTCTATGTTCTTTCCCTCGACATCTGCTTCTGATACCGATGATTTCCGCCTTTGAGATGAAGTTACACTAGGGAAAGTGATCCATGAAGGAGCTCTAAACTCAAACCTTGGATCCTCAACTTCTTCTGCAACTTCAGTTTCCGAGACCGATCTATTCGAAGACCTTTGAGAAGACTTCTTGTGCATTCTGTTGCTTCCCAAGATCACCTCGGTTGGCAAAATCGGTTGTTCGCTACATGGACTGCCCATCAACTGAGCCAAAGCTCGTTCTAAAGCGGTGGTCACTTTATCCATTGATGGTCTCGCTTTTCCTCTCATCCTCACACATTTGGAAGCCACATTCGCAATCCTTTTTAGAGCTTCGATGTCTGCAGGAGGTTTCAAAACAGGGTCTAGAACTGCAAATATGTCTCCTGATTTAATCAATGGAACTGCCCACTCTACTATATTCCCTTCTTCGTATTGCATATCGATGGCTTTTCGTCCGCTTAAAATTTCCAACAATAACACACCAAAGCTGTAGACATCAGACTTCGTTGTGAGGTAGTGGAGCCTGTAGTATTCCGGATCAAGATAACCGAGTGTTCCAGCAGGTAGCTCAGCTAATGGACTGCTGCTATTTGCAGGTCCTAGTAAAGAGAGACCAAAATCAGCCACTCGAGCATTGTGTTCTTCATCGATGAGAATGTTTGAGGATTTGATGTCCCTGTGAATCACCGGCGGGCAAGCGTAACCATGCAAGTATTCAATTCCCCGTGCAGCTTGGACCACAATAGTGACCCTCCGGACCCAATCTAGTTGCTCTTTCAAGGCTTTGTTCTTTCCATGAAGATGCTGGTGCAATGATCCATGAGCCATAAACTCGTAAACAAGAAGCCGTTCCCCGCCTTCTTCGCAATATCCGAGCAGATTCAGAAGATGGGTATGGTTCAATCTCGACAGTAAATCTAATTCCGTGTGGAACTCTTTTGGAATTCTTCTGTTTATCTGAAGACATTATGGCCTTTTTTACTGCAACAACAGTTCCATCTTTCAATAGCCCTTTATAAACACATGAGAAACTTCCTTTTCCAACCACAGATTCTTCTTTGAATCCACCGGTGGCCCTCTCAAGTTCTTCGTAATTGAACATCTGAGCCCTCCTGATCTTAAGCTCATCAAAGTCAGGTCGGACTTTTACGTTTTCTTTTCGGCAAGAAGCAATCTCATTAGCTTTCTTGAATCCCGGCTCTTTTGATTTGCAGTGACAGCTCTGCAACCTGTATCGAACATATAAAACTGCGGTTAACGACATGATAATCACCAGTAACACAGCAAAGGTAATCTCCGCGATAATGATCGGCAATTGCAGTAACCAGAACCTCTCATTTCTACTTCCATTAGCAGCATTGGAATTCGATGATGAAGAACAATTTGAGAAGCATTCCACTGAGTTGCAACTAGAACAATTGTAATCACAAACTCGATCAGACTTCAAAGTACATCCCCATTTTTGGTACATTTCGGCAGGGCAACCAATACTGCAGGGCATACAAACATGAAAGTTTGGAGACTTGCAAGGTGCATTCTTCGGATTAACTTCATAGGAACCCGGTGAGCAAGGAGTTTCTTTGCAAAGTCCGGGTGAGACGGCCAGAGGGAGGGAAATGGGGAATCCGACGCCCCAACAAACCGGGAGAAACGATTTTTTGGCCATAACACCACAGGTGAAGTAATTTCCAGCTGCAATTCCATAGACTTTAACACCTTTCGGAGGTGGGGTACTTGGTTTGACAATGAAACCCCAGCAAACAACCTGGTGATCATAACTCTTGATTCCACAAGCATGAAACTTCCCTCCAACAACCGTAAGCATCGGATCTTTCGGCGGCAAATCGACATTTCCTTGACGGGAATATGCAACCGGCACAGACAGTTCTTCTTCGAGGTTCAAGCTCCTTCCCCAGCAAAAAACTCCAGAATTCAACCCTTCCGAAATCCCACATACATGATAACCACCAGCTGCAACCTTTTGGAACCTCATTTCTCTAGGAATCAAGCTAATGACACGGCTACTCGTCTCATCACCCCAACACAAAACAGTCATGTTCGAAGAAAACAACCCGCAGTTAAACTCTGATCCGGCGGAGAGCGATTTAATCTGCCCCTCAAACACATAGTTCTTGGTCATATTATAACCCCAACAATCTACAAAAGCATAGTTTCTGTGCTTTCCGGTTAAAGGCTTCCTCAAACCACATAAATGGTAATCCCCTGCACTGATTTCTTCGTACTCGGCTCCCTTTATCATCGGCTGAGGAACCCCCATTTCGATATAGCTGCTGCTCCCTTATAACCCCAACAATCTACAAAAGCATAGTTCTGTGCTTTCCGGTTAAAGGCTTCCTCAAACCACATAAATGGTAATCCCCTGCACTGATTTCTTCGTACTCGCTCCCTTGATCATCGCTGAGGAACCCCCATTTCGATAGCTGCTGCTCCCCCAACAATACGGCTGGTTTGAATCCTCAACAGCCCACAAACCAAAGCCATCACCGGCGGTTAGACCCAAAATGGGAAATGAGAAGGTGTCCCATAGATGACTGCAGCATTGATCCATAGCAGGTTACAAGATGTGAACCATCAGTCTCAGACCACAAAAAACAGGACCATTCTCACCATAGGAAATGGCAATGCTAGACATCGAGCCTAGACCAGAAACCACCCACCATAGATTTAACAAAGCCACAAGTGAAACCCTGACACAGGAATCTCTAATCACTAAGCTGACAACTCCCATTGCAGCAGAATATGAACTAAATTGTGGTTGCGGTGTCCCGATTGCCGACGTGATTTATTTCCTAAAAATAGCTGCGGTTTTATGTTGGGGATGCAGTTTGCGGTGACCTTGAAATCAAAGTAACTATGCAGTCGTTACACTGCAATTTAATACTATCATGAACCTAACTATTCCAAGCTAATTTGAATCCACACCCACATCAATTTTCAAATGCTTTGAAGTTGCATGCCTACCTTTTTTTCATACCCAGAATTCATCTGACAAACCAGTAAAGATTACAGTCTCATATAGCATTTGCAGTATAAAGTACAAAAATGATTATCCATAGTGACAGATCCAAAAATATTTTTGAAGATAAACATATGTACTTAATAAACCAAAACATTTTAATAGGGTGCACACGGATAAAATTTTAAGGTGATCATCTTTAAAAATAAAGAACTAATATAAGAAAATGCGGATTTCAGGATGATTCGCCACTGATTCCCCATCATGAAAATGAGACCAAAACCGGAAAACAGAAGCTCCTTACCTAAAAGCCAGATCAACCCAATAGATTTTACTGTTCCTCAGTGACATTCATCATTTCTGCAATTTTGGGTCACAAACAAGTTTAAAGAAGCAATGAAGCTGTTTGCGGAGAAGCATTCATACTCTTAGCTTTGCATGTAGTTTCTTGATAGAGAATGTAAATGGGAAAACACCAACAAAAGAAGAAGAAAATTGAGAAGAAATCTAGTGAAGAAGCGAAGAAGATGATAGGTGGTGTTTTTTTTTTTTGAAGGGAAGAATGTAGCGAGAAAGGGAAAGGGAAAGAACAATAAATGTGGATCAAAGTGCTGCTTCTGAATATCGGCAAATGTTGGTGAATGCATTTAATGACAAGTTGATGCCATTTCATCATTTTTCATGCTTTTCTCCTCCATTCATCACCACCACCTATTCCCATTTTTATTTTAAACCATTTTATTGACTGTTCATTACATGCAATTCACGTCCTTTGGTGGCCTGCATTATAATTATATCATTTGTATTATTCTAAATTTAATCGTATCATTTATTAATACTCTCACGTAATTACTTTACTGTTTTCAACTTCAAATTTCAAAATTTTCACCATTTTTTCCAGCGTTCTTCCTTTTAACCACTTAACAACTATTCTTTCAAGGTATATGATTGTTTGTAAATGTGTGTTGTGGTACGTAAATTTATGTAAGTATACACAATCGATACAAGTAATATAATAGTAAGTGAGTTCTTGTCCTCACATGAATTGAGATAGCTGAACTAGGTGTCACTAACTAATTTGTCTAATGGTAATCACAAAGGAACCAATAATGAT